CTGCAGTCAAAGCGCCTAAATTTGTTTCTGGCAGACGGCGCACTTTGAAAAGAGACAATTAAATAGTGCTGTGCGATAAAAGCCATTAATGGAGAAACAATACACATTGGGAGCACATGATACGTTTATGAGACTCCGCTCTGTCGTATTGTGCTCCAATCACATCGACTGCTCTTGTTTTTATTGTTCCAGTTTATCTCTTTACTCCTCAATTTTTACCTTATTTTTATATTCTTATTTTTAGATTCACAGGAGTCCAATTCCTTGTTTGCAATAAAGTTGATTCTGATCTTAACTGAAATCTACCTGAAGACAAAACAGCTACGCATGAGTTCATGGATGGATTAACTCCTGGATGGTTTACTCCAGCAGCCAGTAGTCTAGACTGGAAATTATTGACTGAATAGTTAAAGTTGTAGATGAATATTTTTTGCCTCAATTTTGGTCACTGGTTGAACATTTAAGTCATTTTAAGCAAAATGCCCCCAAATTCTCTTGAACCATTTTATTTAGATTTTGTAGTTTTCTATAATGGTAAACTAAATATCTTGTGGATTTCTGGGTAGATAATACACGCAAACTGAGATTTAGGCAGCAAAAATCAACCAGTATTACTATTTTCTGACATTTAACAGCCTAAAAAATTTATTCTTAAGGACCATTTTAAAGACTCCTCCTCCCTCAAATCTAGTTAACATGTTTATTTTTATATGCTGGAAGACACATCATGAGTGAAACAAGCAGTCAGCACCATGACGGAGCACTTTCACCTTGAAACTGCACCGATATGTACCAATGACCGACTCCAAAGCAGAGATTCAGACTGCCAGCGTTTTCTATGTAAACAAACCTGAGAAACCAGTCTGGTCAGCTTGCAGGGTGGAACTTCCTGAATAGTCCGTCTTCCCTAGAATCGGTTTGTGGTTTGACAGCTTGTGGCTGAATTACTACTATATTAAAACTTCCCGTTCAGCAGTGCAGAGTAGTTTTGCAGAGCTGGTGTTCCCAAGCTGCAGGGAACAGTAGAGGGCTGGGCGGACGACGTAGGTCTGCATATTCTAAAGGGAATATTTTAATGTAAAATAAAAACTATTTAAATATGCATCCTTGATAAACAGAGATAAGATTTTAGTGGTTTGATCAACAACCAGAGTTAAATAAAATAAGTGATTGTAGCAGATTCAGTTCTTCTGTGATGGATTAATATTATTTTCTGTGTGCTAATTACTTGAAACAGAAAGAAAAGTAGTTTGATGAAACTCAGCATAGCATAGAACAAGAATTAACTATAAATTCAAACAGTTAAGCTCCTAAAATGTGCCTTCTTTTACTTATGCTCGACTTCAGTGGTGCAAATTTTCCAAGAAGTTTCAATTGATGCAATTAAGTTTACCAAAATGACAGTGAGCGAACCTGAATGGGCGGCTGCCGAAGTCGGTAATAGAGCCTTGCATGAGCTAGTGGGCCACTTCAAAGTGACAAACCAGTGGCAAGTGTTTGGGCCTGCACTGAAGCCGGTTGCAGCAGCCTGTCCTCCTGTGAAACCACACTTACTTTCAGTGTTTGCAGCCACCAGCTCCCCCGGCCGCACAGGTCCACCTTGTCATCACCCTGCAGATAAGAGCAAGATACGAGACGAGACACAAGATATTGTTTCTGCTGTGATGACACTGCTATGCCAACAATGTGTTGATGCGTCTCCCACATCATGTGCTCCACCGGTTCTCCTCATTGACCACACGGCTTTAGAGATCGGGCCTTACCTTATCTGTTCTATAACCAATCCTGGACATGTCACTGACTTCACAGACGGCTTTGTTTTTTTTTTTTTCATGTGGCCACATCCGGCACTGTACTCAATGTTGTACACTATCTGCTGAACCGGGGATCCAGTGACACCTGACCACCATTAAAACTGTGACTGTTACTATAGCAGCGACTCCGCTATCGATCAATTTTTCAACAAGCTGGCCTGGTAGAGGGCTAAATTTAGACTCTCCGACCAGTTTGCCTGAGAGTAAGACACAATGGTAAGGCAGCACCAAGGTACAGACTGTACATCCTGCAGTCAGTTACTTGGTCCTCTTTGTCAGCATCCCATCATGTGGTATTTGGAGGTACACTGAGAATATATTCAGAGCAAGTCCAAGACAATAGCAATGGCATGCCTAATTGTTCAGTGTCTGCAGGTGAAAGGAAAGTAAAAACACTGCAGGTTTGAAATGTAATACCTTTAAAACTAACCCTCTTCTCTGCATATGAACTTTTAAGTATCTTACCTCGAGTGCCATATCGGAGTATGATGTCAGGTCCAAGCACACATGCACAGAAATACAAACTCACTCCCTCTCTTTCAGTAAAGCAGAACCTAAAACCATCACCCGGAGTGAAAATCTCGCTCTGGGAGCAAAAGCGCAACGTTCGGCCTTGTTGCCAGGCTACCTGTAACACATGGTTCGGAGAAAGCAAGAATTCATGTTTACTCTGCTTGTCAAGGACGTCTCATGTGACCTGAGAGTACCTGAGGAGAAAACACACACACACGCAGAAAACACACTTGCTGTCTTGACTGAGGTTTTCATCATAATCCCTGATGTGCGTTCAGTCCTCTTCAATCTGGACAATGCATGAATGCAGAGGAGGGCAGAGACTGTGGCTACATGCGCTGAGTAATTAACAACTTTTTTTTATAAGGAGACTGTGATGACACTTCAACTGCAAGTTTTCTAAGTCTTGTGATAATTAGTTTTGACAAGATGAGAGGCGCTTGTGTCATCCATTCACACCTGAAACGGCTCTCGGTGTTCCTTTTCTTGTTCTGTGCCTCAGAACTGAAGCAGAGCAAAAAAGTAGAACCCAGTCATTTCTAGTTTTACAAAGAACAAGATTAAGGAAAATCAAATCAAGGGTACTGCAATTAAATTACCTTTGTTGTTACCTCAGCGCATTTTTTTTTAATGCTCTAAATGTTTAAACATGCCTCCACTGGGAGCTCTGAATGACGTGCATGACTGACCAAGCCATAAACAACCTCAGCCCGTGCTACTCCCAACGGACCGTCACAACCATCACATAACTTTAGACACAAAAGGATTTTTTTTTTTCCCCCAGTTTAGCAGTATAAAAGTGTTAATCCAACCACTGCATAGGATCAAGGGCACGGACTAAAGGTATAAAACTCACACAGGAGGCAGAGCAGAGGTCCACAATAGAGCTTTATTTTGTCATTCATCAAAATAACAAACTTAGTATCTCTGCAAGCTACTGTAACAAACTCAATCAGAAAATAACAAAAAAAAAAACAGGTACACCTCTATTTACACCATGGTTTCTGATGTACGCTCAATCACCTTCATCTCGTGACTGGGGGCAAATGCCGAGTAAGACATGAGGCAGTCAGCTTCTACATGGTGCTGTGCCAACAGTAGCAGACAACACATGGCCTATGTAGTCAGAAGGGGAGCTGGACAGTACAAGGCTAATCTAATGTCGAGTACCATCGTGTGCACTTCAAAATAGAAGCCTTTGATCCCACTCAGTGCTTTTATTTTAATGACAATACAGATCTGATCTGAGCTTATCTGAACATTAAGAGGCATTGGCTGATGCTCCTCAGTGCTTTTGGAATTTAACAGGGGACATTTTCAATTGGTAAACATTTCATGTGTATTCTAAGCAACAAGAAAAAGATCCTATCAAAACTGGAGCATCCAGTCCTCAATACAAAAATGGGAATTATTACAGGGTATACAAACTCAAGGATCCATTATAACTGAGAAAACAAGACAATTTTCAAATCTGGGTAGATTGTAAATTTTATTGGAAAACAAAAATTTACAACTTGGAATGGATTATTTGAGGCATGACCAGAGGTCATTAAAAAAAATAAAGGAAAGAAAAGTAAAAGTAGTGAGTAAAACATTAAAAAGCAAGATAAGATTAGTCATTTTCTGGTATATAGAACAGCAGATACAAAAAGAGTTTGTACGAGTACCTAGGAGATACACCCGTGTCATTTTTTTGCAGTAGTGCAATGCTGAGAGATTTCCATATATACTTTGTCCGTAGTCCATGCAGAGTTTCAACTCCTCTACATTGTTTCCATGCCAACAGTGTTGCCAAGTGACAACCAGCTGACAGGTTTCCAATGTCGCCATGCGTGGAGGGGCCCCGAGCACACAAGACAGGAAGATTCGAAGTTCTCCGGCTCCCAGGGGCCTCCACGGGCATCTGGTTGTATGACCGTTCCGTCACTCCAAAACACCATGACAGCAAAAGAAAGGGACATGGGGACAAGAGCCTATGCAGTTTACATGCAGTTCCTTTGGACAGCAGAAGGGGCAGGGACGAATGGGGGCTATTAAGATTTTACAGATAAATTACACAAAGAAAAAAGGCAAATTATTTATATACGAAATCTGTACAAGGCCTTCACTTCGCCGTCATCATTTGTACGAACTCTGCGGGTGAAAGGAAAGGGAGAAAAAAATAAATAAAATAATGTTGCAGCATTGAATGAGAGAAGCAAACAGATTTAGGATAAAACACAGCATCTACCAACCTTCATAGTTGACCTGTCCATCTCCATCAATGTCTGCTTCTCTGATCATTTCGTCAACTTCTTCATCAGTCAGCTTCTCTCCGAGGTTTGTCATCACATGGCGCAGCTCAGCAGCACTGATGTACCCATTGCCATCCTGAAAATGCAATCCGTCAGTAAGCAGTTTTTAAAAACTGCGGTGCATATGCATGCGTTTGGGAGTGCAGGCAGCCTTTACCTTGTCAAAGACACGGAATGCTTCTCTGATCTCCTCCTCGCTGTCTGTGTCCTTCATCTTCCTGGCCATCATGGTCAAGAACTCTGGGAAGTCTATCGTTCCATTTCCTAATGACAGGAAGGGAGGGGGGGAAATGGTATTGAAGATGGATCGACATCCAGCAGTGACAGTAAGAGTGGCTAGCAGGTTCTGAAGTCAGACTGAGTTCTCACCATCAGCATCCACTTCATTGATCATGTCCTGCAGCTCTGCCTCTGTGGGGTTCTGGCCCAGAGAGCGCATGACTGTGCCCAGCTCTTTGGTGGTGATGGTGCCATCTCCATCCTTGTCAAAGAGCGAAAATGCCTCCTTGAACTCTGAATGCATCAAATGGGGAAAAAAAAAAAAAAAAGTGGATGGGCTGTTTTAGTAACGACACGCTTCCAGCTTGACATGCACAAAGTGGTGAGACAGTGGTTGTAAATCAAAGAGCACTGCAGAAGACTGTATTTATAAAAGAAATCTACTGATTAACTAACCATATAAATGCTGTCAGCCTATGCCTATCTTAGATGACAAACTCTTTATCTTATCCTTGCATCACATTCAGCCAAACCCTGAATTAGCCCAAGACAGGGTATTACATCACTATGTTTCAGTTATAAACCAACTACACAATACTGATGCGTCTTTGTGTTTTGAGTTCCAACTGCAGTCGTTTCTGGCTAAACAAGGACAGCGACCACGAGACCGAGCAGCAGGGCAGAGTCAGGCTACATCAGCAACAAATGACAGCATGTGTAGTTTGGTGGAGCCGTGAGGGATGACGAACAATGACACACTCATCAAGTGTGATGAGGCCAATGGGCAATGTGTAGTGGCATGCAGCAGCTTGTCAGTGTCATAAAAACTACAACCTGCCCTGCCATTTGCAGGGTCAAACACACAGGGCAACACCCTTTTTGTTATGAGGAGAGGCCTTGTCTGCATCTACTGCAGGAAATATCAGGGGGATCTGATTCCTCTGGGGCGGGCCACTGAAACCCCACATCACTGCAGTCATTTACTGCGACTTTCACCGAGTCAACACAGCACATTATTGCACAGTCACGTCATGCTGTTTGTACAAACCAACAATCTAAAAACTGGCACACGTCAGCAAAACACGAAGCAAGGGTTTGCCCACTAAAAGCCGATATCATAAAACACAGCTAGAGTTGTGATCAGCATAATGCGAAACCAGAGAACGAAGCTCATTTAAATCAACAAAAGCAGGATGATATTACAAAGGAAACCCTTCTACTGGATTGCATTTTTGACATGAACTGTGTCTGTGTAAACACTGGAAGTGATGCATAAGGAAACACTCCTCCTGCAAGATTTACAACATCTTGGCCTCATCCTAGGATACCAGTATACTAAGCCCATGTTACCACTGCTTGTTCTTGTAGTATTCCATCTGATGAGTACACACCCAGGGCAAAGGACACATCATGCGCAGCATGTAAAAGGTGACTGCCAGCACCTCAACAGAACACACAGCCCTTCCAGATTACATCATTTATTACATGGCAACCATGAAAATGCAAAGTTTTCCATGAGGGAGTCCTTCAGCGCTCCAGAGCCAGCAAGCAACAGCCGTTTCTTTCATTCCTGTTTTATGACCAGTAGGCTGCCCTGTGGAATGCCTTAAAAGGCAAAAGTATAAATCCGCTGCATGGGATGCAAGGATCCATAATGCAGGCCACTTTGCAGGTTATGAGGAAAGCAGAAGATCAATGCAGCGTTGTCTTACCAGCAATCTGCTCTTCTGTAAGCTGATCAGCCTGTAAAATACAAGATGAAGCCATTATTAGCATGACAAACAGCAAAAATACATAATTTGCTTTTCCACCTCTAAACTAGTCAGTCACCCTGGTGGCCTCACATATAGGGCCGTCCATTAACTGGAAGACTGCAAACACATCTTTCTACTGCTGGTATAAATGATTAGGGATACAATGCCTATGACAGCAGCTGGAACGATACAACTACAC